TGGTATTTGCGAATTCAGACGACCATGACTTGTTGCATCCAGGAAAAAGGATCGGCGAAACTTCAGTATGATTTCAGACGACCATGACGACTTGTTGCATCCAGGAAAAATGATCGGCGAAACTTCAGCAAGATGACGGCGCAAGGTGGGACATCGACGCCACCTGTGCAAGACAAAGAAATCTGCGAACCTTCAGCAAGATGACGACGCAAGGTGGGACATCCAGGCCACTTGTGGATAGACAAAGAAATCTACGAACCTTCAGTAACTCCATTACTATAATCCGTGGAACAAATATTCCCAGATGAATGTGACGGATTTATGTTTCCCTCCGTGGTGAAAGATAGGATTAAAAACGAGGCTTTCTTCCAGTTTAGGGTAGGAGAGAATCTATGAAGAGACCGGAGTCCATCAGTTCTGTTGTCAACATGTGTGCATTGAGTGCCCTCTCGAAAACATAGAGAGATGCAGATGACGATAAATGAACATTGCGTTGATGGAGACAGAAATCATGCATCAAATAATGCAGGCGGCTGATAAGTGTACTGAGTAAACAACAAAGTTGCACTGCATGTTTTAGCGGTGTTGAAATCGAATGGCAATCAATCAACCTACTCTAATACTAAATCACAAACTAGTCCAAAACTGATTGGATTCAAATCGTAGCAGATGTATTCTTCCTCGATTACGTTAATCAATTCAGATCAGATCAAACTAATTTTAATCAAAAAATATCAATCCAACCAAGTTTATTATATCTTAAAATTTGATAAATGACGGATCAAATTGAATTGAATTATTTATTTCTTTTAATTACTGAAAATTACAAACAAACTAGTTTGACCTATTTCATTTTAATTGAATTGAATGGAAAATTAATTCGATTGAACCGATTTGAACACCACGACTCTATGCGTCCAACCTGGCAGCAATCTTGAGAGAGATGTGCAACTAAGAGAGAAGAAGCACATCATCGTCGGTAAGGTCATCATCTGAGAGGCCGGAAAGAAGCGCATGCAATAATTGAACTCCATGATTTGGAACCCCAGTTTTGTTCGTAGCAGAAAGAGAGCTCGATACTCTTCCTTTGTCCCAGCAATTAATCAGGCTCCGATCGATAGCACCTGCTAAATGGATTCAGGACCTACTACGACTTACCACTTGCGAAGGCGACAAATGGCACCACCGTGGCAGCCTCCTCGTCATTTACGTATGCATCATCATGATAACAGTTTCAATCATTGCGAAAAGAATTAACACTTGCAATTATATGAAGATATAATATAGCCATGGAATTTTTAGCATGTGTCAGTGGGACGCACCTGCTCCCTCGTCAGCTTCATCGCCGTCGTCGTACGTACAGCGGTGATGGAGGAGCCACAGTGGACAAGGAGCCTTTGCTACAAGATAAAACGAAGACGGATGGATCCATCTGTGTGTGACAGTGAGATGAAAAATGCTACGCAAATCAAACAGCAAATCGCCTGCTCGTTTGGTCCCCATCGTGTCATGAGATGTGAGATGTTGATGAACATACGTATCTCTCTCTCTCTATTGAGACATCCGAACATATATATGTATCTCTCTTGAATTCGAATTCACACGTATATACTGTGTATATACGAGCTTATCTTATGGCCTTATTATGTAGTGCACATATAAATGTCATTTTGTAAGCGTATTAATTCATGTGTTCGAGGCGATCGAGTTTTGTTATACTTTGATGATTGAACTGACAGTACGAATCTCAATGAGAAATATATAAGACATCATGTTCCTTCTCCTATTTATACAAATTAAGAAAAATGATTTCCCTCAACAAGGATTTTTAATAGAAAGATTTCCTCGTACAATGAAGAAAATAATAGAAGATTAGAACAATTATTGAAGAAGCTTTATTGAAGAAATAAAAAATGCTTCAATACATTAACATGTTTCCTCTCCTATTTATACAAATTAGGAGAAATGATTTCAAATAGAAGATTTTTCTCAACAGAATAGAGAGATTTCCTCGTACTTGGGGAAATCTTATCTTATCTTAAATGTTAAATTTATTGGATAAGAGATTTTGGAATATTAATGTATATAATTTATTTATATAAATAGAAAGATTATATTTGGTGAAAAATAAAATAATTTGGAGCATATTTGGATATGTATAAATATTTTTTGAGCTTGAATTCCATCTTCTCCATTTATCTTTTACAAAAAAAAAAAAATCTAACTTGAAGATAGTCCATATTTTCTTTGTTTGTTTTGATTTCATCAAAATCAAAAAAAAAAGCACCACAGTATCCCCAACATCTGCCTTGAAGTCGATCTTCTGAGCATTATCTTTCTTATGACAAGATCTAATTTTGTGTTTGTGTTTGCTCCAATTAGTCTCATTGATTGGATAGTGAAGTTGCTTCCAGAGATATGCATGTCTATTTGTTTGCTTCAAATTAAGATCTTGCCCTACCAATATAAATGCCATTATTTGGATGGCCCAACTGAGTTGGAAGCCTTGCGTTTAAGAACAAAACCTCCTCTTATCTTTGTTCGCCATCAGCACCAAGTAGCTCATGTTTAATATGCTACTTTGATTGATTCCAATGCCTTTGGACGCCATGATTTATTAGGTGATCGACCTATTGTCATGTCAGTTCCTTTCTGAGATTTTCTTTGTTCCTCTGTTTGAGTTACATCCCACCGTTAATGGCGACAAAGGAGGAACAGACAAAAATCCTCCATACCTCAGCTGCATTTGATCTGTTAACTTATCCTAATAAGCCAATCGATTCCAATCATCTCTTTTCTTTCTTCTGTCAATATCTAATTTTGAAGTTTTTATTGATAAATATTTTAGGTTTTCTTTAGACAGTATCCTAAAAAATAATAATTATAAATTAGCATTTGGTTTTTATCTCGTATATATTTAGATTTTGATAGAGGAAAATAAAATGCAAGTAATATTTTGGGTCCTGAAGGTATGAGTGGAGATAATCCATAAATCTTATAATTTTCTTCGTATATTCTTTTGATTTTGAATTCTTTTTCTCCTCCCAACAGTAGAGGAGTTACAGGAGAATTATATTGATCCAATTCTACAGGAGAATGAGTGATCATATTAATTTAGATCATTACTAATAGTGTTTTGGCATGTTAACCATTCGGGTGCTATTTGTAGATTGATTTCTACACTTTGGAATTGATGTTGTCGTCTATCGTCATCTCATTCTCCGTACAGTGATCTATATGAGAACAGATTTAAATGCTACGAACCTAAAGCTACGCTTGGCATTGGTGCTGGGGACTGTCTTTATGGCTTGAGAAGTTGGGCAAGAGGTTGTCTACAAGCAAAAATGTAGGACAGATCGATGGCGACTAGACTCTTGAAAGGGAAGCATGCATGGCAAATGGGCATTATTAAGCTCGTGAAAACTAAGTGCAGACTATTTTATTGGGATTAGCGGTCCTCCAACCCTGTGAAGTTCCAGTTAGAACAATGAGGCCTTCCTACATAAACCTTTTATTCGTTCTCAGAGTCAAAAGAACGAAGCTAAGACGAAAGGAATTGGAGGATTTAATGCTTCAGGAGTTGCGCCAAAGCCTGCAGATTCAAATCTTTAGACTTGTTGTAGAGGATAAGCCTGCAATGACACCTAGAACAGCAATGAACAGCGAGGACAAGCGTCCTTGTTGTCATGTTCTCAAGTTGCAGGCGGCAGCTTCACGAGAACTCTCTCTCCCAACCCCACATGAGATGCAAGAGGTAAACAATGCAAGAAGGAGAGTGGCCATGGCTGAGATAAGACACAGCTGCTAGTGTAATGACAAGAGGTAAACGAGTCTTGTTCCTAGCTCGTGGCCATATTCTTCCAGGCTCGAGCTCAGATGAGTAGCAGCAGAAGGACGACAAGTAGTACTGTAATGACAGGGATGAATCTACGAGAACAAGCAGAATGATATTAGGTAGAGGATGTTTCCGACTTCCAATGCTGCTTCGCAAGTCTGGAAATATATGTAAACTCTTAATGCTGGTCTTTGGTTAGAACATGTTTGATAGATCTATATAGTATTTCCGAAATATATATCAAATTCAGACATTTTGTTTGCAGCCAATTTAATTGCTCAACAAAATGTAAGCATGCATTTTAACAGGGAGAGCATTAATATTCTTTCATCTCCTCTCTTTCCGAGCTAATTATATATAATACTTTATATTTGGATCCTATTAATATCATGATTTTAATATTTAAAAAATTTATATTAAGATTCATATAGTTTTTAAAGTGAAACAAATAATCATATTTGTCATAACATCTAGCTGCATCGATAGAAAATATAACATGTGATATCATATACTAGTTCGATATGAAAACGATGGATAAAAAGATAATTTTAATATTTATTTCGTTTCCAAGTTGAAATTATATTTTTATCGATAAACTCACTAAAAATGGAAGGATGTTCAAATTATCTTTTTGTCCAATATTTTCTCGTCAATCTAATATATTGTGTTATATGTTATATTTTTTTCAATATAACCGATAATGTTATGATAAATGAACTTATTTATTTTATTTTTAAAACTATAGAGATCATAATTTTAATTTTTTTTAAAGTACAAAGGCTATGATATTATAGGGTCCAAATACGGGTAATATGTAATTAACCCTCCCTTTGCTAACTTTAAGAATGTTATTTGAGTAGCTGAAGCAATGCTTTTGGATTTCAAATCAAAACAACATGTAGTTTAATTTTTAATAAATAATTTTAATAGTTGAACATTTGTCTTATCATTATTTTCATAAGAAATGCTCGAGGAAGGGTGATTTATAATTACCCACTACAATCACTGGCCCCCACAATACCCACATAGGTAGATCAAGTGGTCCACCGAATCCGGTAGGCGAAGCAAATAAATTATATATGTATATACATACATACATACATACATATATATACATATATATATATATATATATATATATATATATACGCGAGGTGGCCGCATAGGAACTCATGATACGGGAAAGGGCCGAACCAAGTGAATCAAAGTACGTCTTCCGCCGCGATCTGGAAACCCTAATCCTTCGACGCTTTATGCAAAAGGGCCTGTCGATCTCCAATTCGCCGTTCTCTCCAATCCATTGAGGGGATTGTTATGGCAACGGAATCGGCTTCGGCTTCGAGCTCGAATCCCTCGTCGTCGTCCCTGTACTCCTACCCGGCCACCACCTACTTCCCTCTCCCGTTTCATCTCCAGAACGCCGACCCTGCGGCTCAGCAGCAGTATCTCCCGCCGTCCCAGATCCCACCGCCCGTTAAGATCCCCACGATGGCGCAGACGTTCCCCGTTCCGCCCCCCGTCGTCGCCGGGATGTATTCGCTTCCGCAGTTCCAGCAGGTTCGGCTCTTCTTATGCTTATCTTTGCTGCTTTTGCAATTGAAATTTGTTGTGAAATTGTTAGCGGAGTTTGATTTTTTTTGTTGTGGCGTGGTGGTGATTGGTCTTTTGTTTCCTTGATACCCTGTAATGGTAGTGAAACCGTTGCGTGATATTACGCCAAAGAGGGAGTTGTGAAGTTCAAGATCTCCGGGAATTTATAGTAGGGTTCGGGAGGGACGTACTGTTTATATCTAATTCCGATTTTCCATCACAAAAAAAAAAATATAGGAGCTGTAAGTCCTGAAATGTTTTCTACTACAATCTTTTGCCTTTATATTTTGATTAAATTCACTAATAATAATATAAAGCCTAGACCACTTATGATATCGATATTAAAAGTGATATTAACCAACAAATATGCGGTGGTATTATAATGGTCATTGAGAAAATTGCACTTTCCTCATGAAGGGTTTAAGTGTTTATTAGTGTGGATTTCTAATTATACGTGAATTGATTAGGACTTGATATATGTGATTTTGTATTTTGATGAAATTATCGATAAACATCCTTGTTGTCCTTGTTGTTTTACTTGCACATTGTGCTTGTTGTTTGTTATGAGGTGAAGGGGGTGGCTTCACCTGCTTTGAGTCGTCTTTCCTGAGTACTTGACGAAGTGGGTCCTCTTCTAGAAGAACCTAGGAAGAGATTTGTCAATCACTAGGTTAACAGGAGGGCAGAGCAGATATAGCATTAAGCATGATGCCCATTAACTTCTTGTTTCAATTGAGTTTTCCATCCAGACAATAAATCTTTTATTTTTTTATCATTTGTAGGATGGTATTCCGTTTTGTTTCATACATGAAAACCTCTTTCTGAAGATCATGGGATGAGATTTCTATCTCAAATTCATGCCTGTTCCTACTTGGTGATGGGATTCACAGGTGAAATTAAAGGGTTTTGATTGGTTGAGTTTTTCTGTTTCTGTAATTTCTTGTGTATTTCTCTGAATTTCTAGCGGGTGAGGTGAACAACTTCATAGTATTAGAGAAGATGTATAAGCAGATAAGTTATTGATGTTTTTATCTCATACGTTTGCTAGGCATTAAAAGGGTTAAGGTATGCTAGTTTTAGTTGCTAGTAAATGGGTATCTCCATGTTTGATCCTTAAAGTTCTGTTGTGTGTGTTAGTTATGGAGATTGTGATACACACTTTATGGATTTTCTCTTCCAATTTTCAAGGTTTTTAATGTAATTACTCTATCTAATACAACAGGCACAACAACTTTTTCAACGGGATGCACAAACCATCACTCCAGAGGCTATAGAGGTTGTGAAAGCTGCACTTGCAAATAGTGAAGTTGACCATAAATCAGACACAAAAAAGAAAGCAATACCACGTAAAGCAGCTGGTCAGAGTTGGGAGGATCCAACTTTGGCAGAATGGCCAGAGAGTATGATCACTAATCAGATACATAATGTCCTAATACCGTTTTCTTCTTTATGTGTATTCTCAGTTTGCAACGATCTGATGTTTGACTAATATTGTTGAAGCGGTGCATATATAGTGGAAGGTTTAGTCTTAATTTAGCTTTTAACATACCTGCTTCTCTATTTATTCTTGTTCTTCCTTACATTATATGATGAAATTATTATTATTCTGTAAGTCAATCTTTTAACTTAGCTTATGTAATGGTAGAATGTAAGCGATAGGATAGTGGGGAAGAGAGGAGATAGGTTTGGTTTAACAGTAGTGTATTGGTATATGATATTGACTGTCAGACATCCTTTCTGCCTTCAAGTGAAGGTTTCATCTATGGAGGCAAGCCATTTGTGCCTACTTTGGTATATGATGCACAATTTTTCTGGTTCCATATAACAGCATATGACCATATATATCTACAAAAAATAACTGATAATTGACTTTAACACGAAAAACTTGACCAATCTTTCAGCAATTAAAAATTTCACTTGCTGAAAATTATACATTGTTAAACACAAAATTTTGGGCAACTACATTGATGTCCATCTAGTCTTGTCTTTGTTAGCTATCCCTTACGCACTGTACTGATATAATGGTTTGTAGCGAAGAATATACTTGGGGCATTTTGAGTTTTATGGAGCTTGGTGACATAACAAGGTTGCTCCTTTTAGGACCTACGTAACTGGAGCATGATTCATGAAAGCGATCTCTCTGTTTGCAGGTGTAAAGCTGCACACATTAATCCTTGAACCCCTTTGTTGACATGAGTGGGTCTAATGTTGAAGAGTAATTCAGACATGGGGTTGAAGTGATTTAAATTTCATAACGCAATTCGGAAATTGAACTTCTGGTTGACCAGATTTTTCATTAGAAAAACAGTTATTTGAGGGGCAATAAATGATGCTTTTTTGTCACTTGTTACAAGCACTTTCACCACTATACGCTTTTATTCACTTGCCATGTAATAAGTTTCTTGTGGTAACTTTTATCAATATTGTGGAATATCTCAACTCTCGTGCTTATTGATATGCAGATGATTTTCGATTATTTTGTGGAGATCTAGGCAACGAAGTCAATGATGATGTCCTTTCAAAAGCATTTTCAAGGTTCCCCTCCTTCAACATGGCAAGAGTGGGTTTTTGTTCAGTCATACTCTTTAATATTTATTTTCATACTCTTGTTCCTTTGTTGATTGGTATCAATGATGCATTCTTTCTTTTTGGTTGAACTTTGATTCTCTAGATGTTCTGATTTAGGGTCTGGATAAAATACCAGGACTCAACTAGAAAAAAGAATTATGTTGGGGCTGACAGGTGAAGTTAGCAATATCACCTGTGGGCTCCGTGGTTCAGATTTGTGGGAAAGCCACAAGATTCTATCGTTCACCAAAATCTATAGTTAAGAAGGACATGTTGCAAGGGGATAAAATGGGAAATATCAGGACCAGAGTTTGGGATAAGAAGCTTAGAAGGAAGGGAAAGTCATTCGTATGTGTTGAATCTGTTACAGATGTAAATTCCTAATCCAAACCCTTAAACTGACACATGAGGAAAATATAATCAGCAGCATTTCTCTTTCCTATTGTTTATTCTTCTGCCAATGTTTACTGGAGTTTGAGATGATTAGAACTGTACAGGATCCATATACAAACTTTTGGTCAACCAGAAATGCTATATTATTAGCAATACACATCTCTAACTGCAGTTGAACTACTGATATTAAATATAACTAAACAAACTTATCTCTCTGTATAATTCACAAAGATATTAAATACAACTATATTATGATCACATCTGAATTATACCTAATACTAAGAGATTCTGCAGCTCTTAGTCTTGCCCTATATTCAGTAGGACAAAGCTTGATTCAAGCTTCAATGGCAAGCCCATGCACATGATTTGGTTTATGGAGGAGAATTTGATTCTGTGACTTGAACCTTGGTCACCAAGTTCACACTTTCCTGAATTTTAACCTTAAGTTTATTCAATTCTCCAGGCTGCACTGGCTAATTGTGACAATTCCCTCATTTTAGTTTGTTTTAGGTTAATGATGTTAATTTGGATATCCAATATGTAGATATAATAACTTGTTGATTTGAAGTCTTCTCTCCCAGGTGATAAGAGACAAGAGAACTGGAAAAACCAAAGGTTATGGATTTGTCAGCTTTTCAAACCCATCAGACCTTGCAGCAGCTGTCAAAGAAATGAATGGCATGTATTTCCTCTAATAATGCATGAGGCATACGTTTGTTGTGTGCAAAATAAAGTCTAGTTAATTTGTGGCTTTCTTTTCATTCCATACACAAATATTGCAGGAAAATACGTTGGAAATCGTCCTATAAAGTTGCGTAAAAGCACATGGAGGGAAAGAACAGATGTTGAAGCTTTGGAAAGGCAAAAGGTACACATAAATTGTCTTTTGGCTAAATCTCTGATTTTTTTTTCTAAACCTAGTTTATCATCTTTACTTCTAGAATTACATTCAGAAGAAACCAAAACTACCAAAGAAAGGTATTCTGCACAAGTGAAGCTTCAAGATCACAACCTTGACTTACGCATGAAACTTGGTATGTCATGTCGCTGGTATTTATTATCATTGTGCAAGTTGCCTCCCTATGCATTTTGTGCTTGCACCATTGATATACTCTTGAAAGCCATCAATGGCGCCATTGGTTCCTTTGGTTTTATGAATCATGTGATTGCAGACCATTTCAGATTATACTAGAATGGTTCCATACAATGTAGTCAAAGGCGAGAAGCGCTAAAAGGCGCCAAAACATCCGAGGCGCTTCCCCGAGTGAAGCGAGGAGCTACCGATTATTAAAATTTTAAAAAATATATATCATGATTAATATATATAATCACTAAAATAAAAAATAACACAGAATGACCAAATTATATTGTTCAAAGTTATATTAATAAAACAATTAACGAACGAGGAGCATGGAGAGGGGGTTGCCCTGAACTGGGAGGTGTGCAGGGATGAAGGGTCTAAGGAGGAGAGGGAGGAGGAGGTATGGGAGAGGGGTGGCTATCTGATTGTTGTTGGTTGGGTTGCTGTCAGTTGGGTGGTTGTGGGTTGGGAAGGGAAGATAGAGGAGGAGGTTGTTAGTGAAGCTGGCGGGTGGCCCCAATGGAGCAAAGGGGGAGAAGACACTAGTTGCAGGGGTGAAAGGATGATACAGTGAAGGCCGTTGGCATATGGAGAAGGGAAGATGCCAATGTAGGGAGGAGGAGGCTGTCGACACAGTAAGGGGGGAAGACGGCTATGACAAGGCAAAGAAGAGGGGACGTTGGCAGCAGGGGGAACGAAAGAAGACAATGGAAGATGTTAGCCACGGGCATAGCGAGAGGGGGGAGGATGGCTACGACGAAGGTGGGGGGAACAGGGAGTGGAGACGTGATGGGGGGAGGGGAAGAGCGCTGTGAAGAAGGGGGGAAGATGTTGGCGGCTATGTCTAAAGAGGAGGATAGACAGGGATACCGACAATGTGCTTGCTGGAGGAAGACGCTGCTACCGTCGTCATTCTCCAATGGAGAGGAAGATGCTATTGCTGTTGTCGTTAGCCATTGGAGAGAAAGATGTTGTCGTCGGTGTTCGCCGATGGAGAGGAAGATGCTGTTGTCGTCGTTCGCTAATTGAGAGGAAGATGCTGCTGCCGACGCAGAGGAAGAGCTGATGTTCGCTGATTAGGTTTCCACAAGTTGTCTCGTTGCATGCGTGTGTCGGGCGGGGGCACGGTGCAGGGTTGGATCGAACAAGATCCAGTGAACTTGATCTTGCCCGATTTGAACCAGGTGGGCGCTAGGGCTGCCTGGCGCCTAGGCTCAAGCGTGTGCCCAAGTGAAGGTACTCGCCTAGCCCAACTATCGGGCCACACCTCGCCTTGCCTAGGCTTCTACGCGAGTGCCTGTTGACTTCACTGGTTGCATGCAAATGTGATCTTGTTCGTCATTCTCTTGTTAACAAAAAATGGCTGAGCAGCATGCCAAGTTCATGCAGTCTGTGGGGCAAAGCAAAATGTTGTCCTGGACACATGCCTAAGCATTTATCACATATTGCTAACTGGTACATAGACATTGTGCATCAGTATAAACAATTTACCATGCTGCTATTTTTCTGGCATGACACTCATTCTCGAAAATTGTGAGAAATCTGTCCTGTTAAGACAGTTGAACTGTTATAGATTATGTGCACCTGAGGTATCAACTTAGCATGATCATGAGAAACACAGTAGATGAATACAGTGCGATAAGGTGAATCCATTTTTCTGGCATGTTTCGGCAAAGTAGTAGAAAAAATTAATTTGTTAACTAGTTAGCTTCTTATGTCGCTGTTTATTTTAAAAGTATATACTATATTAGATCTTTCAATTAATTTATATCTGAAGCTTCTATTTTTATTAGCACTGTCTTGTTCATCATGGGTTGATTATACATTAAAACTGATTTCTTTGTATCATGCACGACTAGTTCATGAGACCAGGAAGTCCCCTAAATGCGTAACTGACTACTGATGATTCAGGACATGGGGAGTGCAGTTGGGACATAATCAACCTTTTTCAAGTGTGTTCAATTTTGGATTGTAGAACTGTTGCATTGCACACCACATTGGCATGTTATGCACTTAAAAGAGTTGACTATGGAAACCATGTGTATTTACCAATTATATTTCTTTCTGTATTTATTTTAGTCATTTCAAGCCAGTATGGTTGCAAAATATTGATATCTATTTGTTCTTTGAACAGTTTTCGCAATTAATTCTAGAGAATATACAACTGAACTCATCTAGAGTGCAATTTGTGGTGAATGACGTGCTACAAAATTTATGGGTGCTTTTGTAACATCGAGAAGCAACGTCAACTATTTACCTTCTTGATGTAAGAGAAGTTGGTGTGTTTTCAGGTTCATGAATTCTAAAGATGATTCTTCTGAAGATGTCCTGTATTGTAAAGAGTTCATAATTGCATGCAATCTACTTACTCTTATTTCTATGTCCTGTTAGAACTTTTGCTGGCTGTTCAAAAACTATAAATGCTGGTCCCTAAATATTCATGTTAATAATAATTTTTATTTTTTTAATTTACTCCTTTTACGGATAAGTGTTATATAATCAGGCACAATAGATGCGGACAGCGGGACAGAGAAATAAGAGGCATGTTACATATCGGCATCCATTGTGCATATAATTTACTCCTATGGATAAGTAGTATATAATCAGGCACATAGAAATAAGATTAATCAGGCACAATAGTGCATATAATGCATGGTTAAATGGTATATAATTAGTGCATAAATCCTTGACCCCTTGGACCATTTAACTGTGCATTATATGCACTAATTACCCGAGGCATGTTGCGTGAATACTTTGGTGAGTGTCTTTATGCATTGTTAAGAGTAAACATTACTGTTGAATTATGTTTGTACTTCATGGTGCTTTCATTAGATTGTTTGTAATTCATACCCTGGTCACTCTTGGGATGGAAGAAGTCTAATCATGCTTTGCTTACTTCAGGTATGAAATGTTTGGGTTGTTTTAATGTTTGATCCAATCCATGTATCTGCAGAACGGTCGATGAAGTCTATACATACATTATGAGAGTCTTAGATTTTGCTTACTTTAGGTACGAAATGTTTGGGTGGTTTTAATGTTTGATCCAAATCAATCCATGTATATGCAGAAAGAGTGGATGGGATGTTGGTCTTTATGGTTGTTGAATGCAATGGCAGCTGGGCATCAATTAGACTGCTACCACAAGCGCTTGTAAGTTTATGAAGCGTCATTTTGTTCCTACAGCTTTTACTTGTTCTGCATTGAGAGCTTAGTTTTCTCTGTGAAAGAGTTGGAAGAACTTAAATAGGTTCCAATTATATCCATCATCAGGATATATCCCGTCTCGATCGGTGTTTACATGTTTGTGTATTGACCCGTTTCGGACCATATTGGTCGGTATTCTTATTATTACCTTTTTGGTAACCAGGTGGATGTCGGTATTATATCGGTTCGGTTAATTACATTTCCATTTGCGGTGTGGATCGACTGGTACGTACGGCGGTAGCTGGTCAATGTTTTTGGCTGATCGAAAGGTGACACGCGGAATCGCAGATGATAAAATCAATCGATCAGGATTTTTGGACTATAATATGGCTGTCCCTCGCACCACTCAGTAATTGTCACGATCGGGTGTGTTCGGATGATTAACTTAATTGATTTTTTTTTTAAATCTGAACCGTAATATAAAATAAAAGTTTTAAATCAACAATAATATATCCTTATAAATTGATTATTTTATTTAATAGTGAACCTACTCTCAGTCGAATTGATTGTTAGGTGAGATCCATGTCACTCTCCATCAATCTAATCATATTTTTCTTCCTTCCCATCGTTTAAGGTGCGTGCCCTCTCACTTTCTATTTTTTTTTTACTACTCAACTTCATATTTGGGGATATCATATTATTAGCTTGAGCATCAAAATGATTATATCGAATTGACTAAAACGTCAACGATATTTTTTCCTAATATTATTTATTTTTTAATAATATGAGATTAAATTAAGATATTATAATTTGCTTACATGGTGCATGTCAGTAGACCTGATTATGGTTCGATTTGAACCAAAATTAAATTGGTTCGATGGTTCATCAATTCCAAACCGAATCAGAGCCGACCTGGAATGATTTGATTTTGATTCTTAGGTTTGAAAAATCAGAGTCGTCTATTCTGAAACCTACATTTCAAGAATCGAAATCGATGGTTTCATAATTTTAAATTATTTCTATTATTAAAAAAATAAATTATATATTTTTTATATTTAAAATTTTATAATTAAAATAATAAAAAAATTTAACAGTTCGAATCAAAATCCGAACCATCAATTTCGATTCTAAAATCGATCTTTGTCGATTTGATTTTGATTCCTGATTTTGGGAAATCGGAATCGTCGATTCCTAAAATTAAGCCACATATGAGATCTAATAATAATAACAATAATAATAATAATAATAATAATAATAATAATAATAATAATAATAATAATAATAATATCTAGTTTTACTATTTTCTTGAGTTGATGCACAAGACATCTAATCTATAATGGTTCTCTTATCATTTATTATAATATTATCTTCAATAGATTTTTTTCTAGTTGAGTTTCTAGTAATGCTTAATGGTATATTTGGTTATGATATCATTTATCATCACTAAAATCCATCGGAACAATAAATACTATCTATTCTGGATCAAATCAGGAACTAGATACAATAATAAGGGTTAATTACAAATTATTCATTGTAGTTAGACCTCTTTAGTATTATGATCCTTAGACTTCAAAAATTTATATTGAAATCCCAATAGTTATGAAAGTGAAACATCTAGGTTCATTTTCGTCGGTTTCATTGACGAAAATACGAAAATAATATGATAAAATATAATTTCAACATTCTAATTGGTGGTGGTGGTGGACGATGGTACTACTAGGGGTCGCGAGTGATTATTGTGGGTGAGTTGCATTTGCGTCGATATCGAAGCAATCGCTAAACGACCTTTCATCGCTCTACAATTACGTTAGCGTCAATGCAGCTGTTAAGTGACGAAAAAATCGCTCAACATTTACATCGGTGTCGTTACAAATGTAGAGCGGTGTCGCTCAGCATCTACGTCGACATTGATGTATTTATTAAGTGGTGAAAGGGTCGTCGATGCAAATGTCGAGCAACCCTATTGTCACTCGACAACTGTCATTACGTCGACATCAACACAGATGGAGATCGATACCTACGTAGTTGTCAAGCTACGCCGCTCGACATCTGCATCGACGGTCCTTTTGTCACTCAGCAATTGCGTTGACATTGACGTAATTGCCAAGCGACACTGCTCTACATTTACATCAATGCCGAGTGACCCTCACCACTCGTTATCGTTCTTCTCATCCATGACAATCATTCGCACTCTCAACAACATTGCCATCTACCACTACTGACACCATCTACTACCACCAACAAAAATGATTAAAAAAAATTTTATTTATTATTTTACTTTCATAATCATAGAGATTTTATTATAAATATTTAAAGTATAAGAACCAAGATACTATATACATCTAACTACAAAAAACAATTTATAATTAACCCTAACAATAATTACTTGTTGGATTCCTTTGTAAACCTGCATGGTTGTTATTATCTCTAGGAGATCCAAAGCTACAACAAAGGCAGGCAGTCTCAGCTGAAAGCACTAAATTTTCTGGTCATGATCCAAATGAAGATTTACCTGCTTAAACAAAAAGTAAAGGAAAGAAAAACCTAAAAAGACTTCCATAGATCATGCTGCAAAATTGAACACTGCTATACTGCATTGCTTCAACAACCAACAATTCCATATTCGAATTATCATGTCACAATTCAAATAGAATAAACAGGAAAAAAGGTTGCTTCGATAGCTTTCAAGACCCATCATCTTATTCATTTGGTTTGACATACCAAGATGTCAACTCAAAGACACTAGTTCGAAAGAAAGCTAGGAAGTAGTATCAGTCATTCTTCCGCGGATGAACAGAAAATAAATAGACAAGATTGAGTGCCAGATGAAGAGCAAAGTTTCTAAGGTGTTCATAAGCACCCAAACTTCAATAAATTTATGGCAGGTAGACATCAACCATCACCAGACGTCAGGTCGCAGCTCACCAGTTGATGGAGGCACCCACTTTCCGGAGTTGTACACACTCTCTCCTACCTTCCATCCAGGAACATCTTTCATGATCCTGGCCTCCTCTTCCAGATATTTATTCCATTCTTTGACAAACCTACAAGAAGGGATAGTGTACTCCCAATTTAGCATCAATAGGAAAGAAAAACTAGCATAAGGCAACTTAAAAAGCTTATCTACCTTTCATCTTCTTCAGCTTGTAGCATTGGCAGTATGGCTCTGCGGGCGGCATATTTCTCTTCCTTAAGCGCACTAGTTCAAATCATGGGAGCATACTTAGAAACAATATATGAGTCTCAATGCACTGAATCAGGAAGAACTTTTCATAAAAAAATTAAAGTTGTATAAAATAAACAGAAAACAAACAGAATTCCATGGTTCATAAAAGAATGTGATAAGTAGGAGAAAGACTGGTTACCTAAATATGAAAAAAAACAGTATTTTACTGTTCACATCATTAGATGATGGAAACCAGAAAGATTAGAAAAACACATTAGATGCTGATGCTGGGTGGAGGTTTACTCAGGGAAAGCACTCTATGAATCCAACTGAAGTAGACAAATTCAGACTAATACAAGTGAGAATCCAGACACTAAACTGTTAGTAATACTTGAATTGAATATAGGAGGATGTCCAGGATGTGACCACTACAGTTCAGAAGCTTTTGTCACATGGACTTGCATGGTCCGTCTCCACTAAAATGAGAGTGAAGGTTAGAAGACATGATTGAAGACTACTTTTCATTGAATGAGGTCCTCCTGAAGCCTATATGCAAAGATATTGAGATCTCACACAACAGGAAGCAGTCGAGGTACTCAATCAACAAGACATGCACTCCAACAGTTCTTTCAAATAGAAAAGAAAAATTCATTCAACTATTTATGGAAATAATGGAATGTCATCCTTTTAAAATAAGTGATAGTCAAGTTTAGCAGTTATATTCTGTTGTAACCACAGCTAGAAATCCCAGCCACATGTATTCCCCTTGCGACTTCTTTCTTGTTAGAAGGAATGGACTATTTGATAGATGGTTTTGTTTTTGGATCATATACATATTAGAGATGTATTAAAGTATAAAAAAAGGATATGGGTCTCAGCTTCACTTCAGCCCCATATCAAGTGCATGTAAAGGTACAGTTTCAACTAAAAATATAATATTTTAATGTTAGGGTTATTTGATTGGACGACAATATTCTAATACAAAGATTGCAACGGATGCATGTGAAAAGTATAGTTGCAAAATGCCCCATTAATTAGCTCCTATAAGACACACTAGCTATACTTCAAATTACAACTTCAATACAAAAATTATCCTGAGTAGCTACAATTTGAAATATAATTTCTTAGGTCCAAACTATAAGGTTCTGAATTTCAACTTCGTTAGTCAAAAGGAGAGTGAAATGTGTTGGCCTCAGGTGCCGAGTGGTAAGCACCTCATGCTAGACAAAACAATGCGTGTCTTTTTCTACTTAAATGCAGACTATAAAATGAAAAATAATATCACATCTTTTGTTGTCCCACTGACAAGCAATTTTTCTGATTAAAGGCATTAATTATTTGATACAATATCAAGGTAAACATAATCCAAGCTTTAAAGCTCCATGTCAGCATAGATCATGGAGTATACAAGTCACTAGTTCTGTAGCATGACTAGAGATGTATATTGATATCACATGATTCAAATACATTTCTATCTCAAGAAAAATGAAAACACAAATATAATATTTAAAATATTTCAAACATATAACTATTTTCTATGACAAAACTTCACATTTCTTCATAATGTTGGAATATGTAGTTGCATACCACACTATATAATTAGAAACCAACTAGAATCTCAAACCTATTAACCATAAAAGAAGCTATGTTTAGCAAAACAGTAATCATCATTTCAGATTCATAATCATAATCTAATGCTTAGCATGAACAACCAAACAATCCATCTAACAGTACATATCCATCTTAATTAAATGAAAAACATCAGCATTCAAGAAAAGAAGACATCAACATTCATCTAATAAACTATTACAAGTTTACGTGCTTCAGAAGCCTCTAGTTGAGGTTTTTTTATTCATTTGAATCCTTGAGTGCTTGACTTGTCGCAGAAGTCTGAATTTCAAAGTTCTTAAGAAACACAAATAAGTTAATTTGGTCTCCATCATACTGTATCAAGTCCCTCATGGTGACAGATTCATTCTTATTTTTCCATGTTATGGGCCATTTGAAATTTATTTATTAGGCCATAGCCTGATCATTAATATGTCCAAGCTGAACCAATCAGGATCAAGTTGACTTAACTCACTAAAGCTTAAGGAGATTTGAGTTTAGGTTTTGTGTGGTATCTCCCTTTCCGATCCCTTTCTCATATTTTGCTAGACTCTTGAAACTCAATGACGTCACACCAACTCCCTCAATGTCAACTATCACATTATCAGCCTCCACAAGTGTATAATAGGTTTTAGCCATATTTGAGGAACCAAAATGAGACCAAAAAAATAGAAGCATAAAGAATCATGCAAAAAGAGAAACATTACAGGTGCATACTTGTATCATGTGTTTTTAGTTACAGAGCAAATTGAATCCAATGTTTCTCATCGCATAATGTTCTAGACACATGCTTGAAATGATATGCAAATGTTTTGAAGTATTACCTGTGCGTGGTCATATTGTTCTAGCAGGGGCACATATCATTGTACCGAAAAGGTGGTCACTGTTACCAATTCTGCTAGTTCCTAATCATGTCCAACAAACCAAATGGTTACAACTTCTACATTATTCATTCAAACTTATCCACTTTTTTCTTTGCATTTTTCACTTGATGATCCAGATACTATGTTTTCTAACCATATCAAATGCCATGTTTCTTTTGTATTGATGTATTCTTTTCTTAATTCTTATCTTTCCACTATGCGAATTGTTGCTTCGAAAAAAAAAATGAATTGTTTGTTGCTTTTGCTCAAGGTTTGTGGTGAGCGCTTAAGCAATACAAGGATTCAATGTTCTCAGGTGCAAGGACTTAATAAACAAAAACTCGTGTTGCAACCAAAGGCATAAGACACTAAAGAAAGTGTATCTTTATTTATTTGTCAATATCTTTTTTTTTTAACAATTGATGGTTTAGTTACATACCTATTCTTGTTTCTTAGATTAAACCATCTAAGGAGAATGAACAGAAATTCAATAGAAAGCATATGTAGGTTTTCATAGCAAATGAGGTTCAGCCATTCAGTGTCCTTTCTCTTCATATTCTCAGTTTTCTCTTTTCTTCTTGCTATTGTTTTACTCTATTGATGCTAACCTTCCTCTTGCCATCATTTATTTATTAACTATATTTCTCCTTTTTCGGTTAGTCTTCTATTTCCTAGTTGTAATGTCTAACCTCCTCATATTTCTTTAAAACTCCAATTGTTGTTCATGAACTAGCTTATAATATACATCATGATTTTCGCTTTATAATTACAACTGTCTGTAATGCATTTTCACATGAATTGGATCTTGATTCACCTCACGCTAACAAATGCACTTCAAGAGACTATTTTACCATTGTGCATCATGAGCCTCGAATCACTCCAAGCGATATTAACGCAAACTTGGGATGGTATCCTTTTAAACATATTCTTTAACAGGTTCAAGCATTATTAGTAAACATTAGGCATGAACATCTTGTAGAAGTTTGTTCTGAAGTGACTAATATGCAATAAACATCTCCTCCTCTTCTGTCTACTAATATCTAATTTCTCATATTTACACTATTATTTCCCTATTTTTTATTTATTATCAAAAGTTGCGTGCCATATGAGAAAGAGAGAGGGAGGGAGGTCAAAGCACACATCATCAAGAGTACTTAAAGAAACTGTGTCAAGGTAAACATTTGGCAGAATAGGCCAAAGGTAGGCTATCATGAACTTAAAGTTTCCATTGCCAGCATAGGCTTCTTTCAAACCACTACAACCATCATCATTGCTTTTGACAGCAAAGATGCTATGAAATATCTTCCCCTCCTTCCTATGCTAACATCTAAATTTCCTCTGTTTTTTCTTAATCAAAACCCATCCACAAAGAGAGAGAGAGAGAGAGAGAGAGATCATAGCGCATAACCACCAAGGTATTCTAACTAAACTATCCAACCATAAAAAGAAAGCAAATTAAGATATTATAAAGAAGCATGGATATGTGTGCTTATTAAGAATATGTCATCATAGAGGTCTTCCAAACCACTATATCCATCAATTCTGCTCTTCACACAAGCATCATGCATCAATCTTGGTCCTTGTTTTCCCAACATATAAGACAGGATCATAAGAAAGTAAACAGTAACAATAGAAAGTAAACAGTAATACTTCATCAAGAATTTTGGAAGTATTACTGCTCCACTATATGCATTATGTACCAACATAATTGATTGTAGGCCCAGTTAAAGCTAAAGTCTTTTGAAAGCACTATGACTTTAATGAAGAATCAACCTTTGTGATAAAGCTAGCTTACACACATCACACAAATAACAAGAGTAGAGCTTACTATATTTCCCTTCATTTGGTCCCTTAAAGAAGTCAAAGACCTCAGTTTGTTCACAATATAATCTAAATGGAACCTGACAGAATATGAAACTTTCTCTGGGGAATTGCCTAACCATGATGATCCTTACTGACTTTAAGATCTTAATGGTATAAAAAATCAAGAACTTAATATATGTATGAGACTATCAACATGTTCTAGAATATTGAAATAAAAGAAGAAATAGCTCTAACGAGGAATTAGCAGGATCTATTGGTTGAACTTATTTTTTCCAATTATTGTTAGCATAGTTACTTAGAGGTTGGGTAGGAGATGACACTCATAATCAGATTTGAGACATTGGATGCCGACATAGCAAGATGTTTTTCTGAGAGTGGAATAGGGGAATAGACTGCCATTTAAGAGATGACTTCTGTGACTCATTAGCAAAGGACGCATCTCTAGATTCCAGCAATAAGCCTGAGATAAAGTGTGCTATTGGCAGGAGACAGTGTGCTTTGGCTCAAATGAACTAACTTTTAAACATGCATATGTGATTTGATATGCTGACCTTAGGAATGATGGTTTTATTGTGGAAGATCCTCCCTCAAGCCACAAAAAAAAGGTAAAAAATTTCTATTGGAATCCAATCACAAACTATTTTAGCCTATGGGAAGAATGTGATTAGCACTAACATTCTTCCTATAACGATATGAACGTACAAATTTGTTTGTCTCATACATATCAAGAGAAGTTGGTGCCTGTTGTACAACGTGTATCCTTGTTTTGATCTTTCATTAGTAGAGCGTTTAGGCTAAACCTAGGTCTTTGCATATTTCGAAAGCCTAAAGCCATGTTGCAGAACGCCGCAAGCTCTCTCGCAGAACACTGAAGAGGGCCTCCAGACAACTCTATTCTACGAAACAATAGATTATCCATATAGAAGACTAGTAGAAATTAATTAACAATCCACGAATTGGCATTTTTCACATTATACCTCCTCGCGTTGGCATAAAACATCTCAAGTGTAAAGTTCAAATCTCCTCCGTCAATTCCAATCGAAAAAATATCTTACATGCACACATTAAAAATCCATCAAATTAGCTTTAATGATTCTGCTTACACAAAAAACGAGATCGAGAAACCAGTAGTTCATCATAGTCCAAACAGAAAATTTAGATTTTTGAACAAAAATTGAAAATTTCTAATTTATGAAGGGTAATTGGGGGGGATCAGGAAGCAAGCCATCAACTGACCGGCGGACGCGGTTGCCCTGGCCGACTTGGTACATGCCCCAGGAGAAGGCACCAACAGCAGCGAGAAAGATAGCAACGGCGCTGGGGCCTTTACTAGGGATGCGGCGGGCGTACCTGACGGGCAGAAACCCGCCCGGCGGCGGCCCGTCCTGGAGGACGGGCATCTCCCTTACGCTAGCCATTCCCGGCTTCTTCCGCACCACAGACTCCGTCATCCTCCCTTCCCCGATCACGACAACAGCAATCGCGAAGCACCTCCGATTCCTCCCTGTCCCTCTCCTTCGATCTATTGAATGGATCGATCGATCCAACAGATCGGTTGCAGTGATCCGCGAAGGCGGCGGAGTTGAGAACGAGGAGGGCTTCTATTGTTATTGCGATGGGTTGCGAGCCTCTCCAGTTGTTTTAAGGATCCTACGTTGATCCGACCGTTCAGAGTTGACGGAGCCCACAATTGGCAGGTGGGGCTCCTACCAATGAACGGCTGCTATACGAATCTGGAAGGTTTCATAGATGATGTCGTGGCATCCTTGCGACGCATCCTTAGTGGGACACACCGACATCTGGTGAGCCCCACGCTGGGCTGTGGATTGCGAAAGGCTGAATGACACGTCAGCATCGATAGTAAGCAGTTGGGACCCTTCAACGCAACACAACCGCATAATAGCACGCTTATCAGAATCAGATCCGACTCCACTAAATTTCAACTTGGATAGTTTATATGATCTTCTATAAAATAGGTATCATCCACAGAAATATAGCTAATATCAAGTATAAGTAAAACCAGTCATATCAGATTGATCTCATTGGAACATCCTGCAAGTTAGCACATAATTGCATAATTAAAAGGATTTATGTTCGAATTCACACATAATTGATAGGGCTTCTATTCTAATTCAAAAGCATTGACAGAGTTTTGTGGTTCACTATAGCAGGAAGGCAACAAACACATAAAACCACATGGATAGCTTGCCATGGGTTTGTAGGATTATGCTGTAGTTCACAATATCAGGCAGGCAACATCTGAAATCACACAATTCCATACACTCTAGTGCCAAATCTAAAACATTTTTGGAACCCTGAGTTAAATATGACTGCAAGAAATCTGTGTTATATATGAAACCTTCTTTATGGCATGAGTATTGTGTTCAACTACAAGATATCCATATCAGAGAGGTGCCATCAACTGATGAGCCTTTTCTTGGGCCTCCAATACATTAGCATCTCTTAGCATATGAACTACATTGCACTATTGCTTCTTCAATTCATGCCTAGGACTGTTCTTGTGACACCCATAGGACCAGCCAATTTTGAATCAGAAATGAGGATTTGCTTTCAGAAACACTGTTAACTTCCACCTTTGGTTTCTGAAACCCTCATATCATAGAAAATAAATAGCCGTCAGCTGAGTGTTTTGCTGTATGCAATTGTAGGCACCTGCAAAATCTCATGAATTTTCTGTAGAGAGAGAGATTTAAGAGGTTACCTACATATTAGAAACAGAGAGAGCTGATGCACAATTGACAAAGAAGTGGTCAATACATTCCCTACAAGTACATTACTCAATATGCATCAGATACTCAATATGCAGCAAGTTTTGAACGTAATGGTTGCACAAGACAGGCCATAGTCAACTTAGTCACACAGAAAGCTTAGAATTTTCGTAATGTTAATAGATCAACTTCATCATATCTGCTGCAGTCAACAGCTATGAGCTGGGGGGCAAAGAACCTAGTATTTTGGGGATGGCATCTGGGTTGGAAGCAACCCAAACCGTTTCTTCAGAAGCACCCGTTGCCTGGAATACTTGTCATCTGGGGAGAAGCGAGCTACATAACAAAGAAAGAAATGTTAGTGCACTTTGTGAAGGAATACGAATCTTTCACATGCCAAGCAAAACAGGTTCTCCTATGACTAACAGTTTGTTATATATTTTCTACTTTATACGGCATGAAATCAGGTTCTCTTATGACTAACAGTAAAACAAGTCAATCAATGAGCAGATGCTATTGCTGAAACCTTTCAGGCATAAGTAACAAATCTCAAATGATATTGCCGAAACTTCTCATACATAAATAACAAATTACTTATGACGACTTATTATAGCATTTAGATGCTCAGATTAGTTACAAATTTGACAATATACTCAACAGTATGCAGTTTCTTCAGTATGCCATAGTTTTAGCTGACTTCTTTTGTTTAGTTTTAATCTAGCTAATCAATAATGTGTAAGAATAACCAACCAGAAACTAAGCGTTCCTAGCAGACCTACAATCAAAAGTGGACTAATATACTTATCAAAGTGATAAATGCAATGATATGAGCTTTAGATGAAGAATAACTTACCCTTTTAACTAACTTGAGCCAACTACAAATGTAAAGCCTATAACTTAATAGCAGTTATAAAAAAATGCATACATGTATCTAGCAAAAGATAATCGCATGTTAGGTGCAGCCTAAGTTCCCAAATTATTCAACATAAATAATGAAAAATTTTGAAAAGGAAATAACTACAAAAAATTTATCAATCTCAAGAACATGCTTGACAGGTAGTACAAGCTTGCACATGAAGTGCCAAGTGCCAACAAAAAAATAACTAGAAGTTGTACATGAAATAAATTGTTTAAAGTTTTGTTTCTAGTGGACAGCTGGACAAAAAAAGCATTGGAAATTTGGCAGTTCAAATCTTGGAAATTGCACTTAATAGACAATAAGAAGTATGTCTGTCCAATCCAAATGAAATCACTTCCCCTCTCCTGTTACGTAACTTGTTTTGTTTTGGCCAATCCAACTGAAACCAAGATGATTCCAAGCTTCAAACTTAGCTTTGGCTTCAACTGCCAAAGAAATTATCTTTTCCCAATAATTATCGACAAACCTATTGTAGATTGAAGCTATAATCATTTTTGGTGGCAATCACACTCCAAGCGATCATTTTTAAATTAAGATCCATTATATCCTAGAGCAGATGGACTGGAGAAAGAGAGTTGAGATTCAAATAGCATAAGACCAAGAGGAAAGCTCTGGGTTGACATTAAGTTTGAAGTGTAAGTGATCAGTTCCTCTCAGTAAATACCACTTCACCTAAGAAAGTATCTTCTACAAGGGAACCTTTTTTTTATGATGCGAATGTCCAAAAGAACATTGGTACTTAAAACATTTAATGTAATGTGCCAACTAAGCCCATCAAATTAGCTCATTGTTTGCAAGCATACCAAATCCAAGATTGTGTTTGATTCAAGTTCAGTTCATTCGGAATTATAATCAACCAAGTTTAAACAATATCCCAATAATTATTTCCTTAATGAGACAAGATCTCAATGGTAAGATTGTTGTTTGCTTGATACAAGCTCAATTTAGAAAATACATTAAAAAATTAGTAAAACATATTTTTCATCACCTGGATTGACAGATGTTGATGTATGAAAATCAAATTTTCTATACTAAAAGGTTGTATAAATAGCAATTACTAACCCTAATCACCTTGCATTTGTTCTGATATATTCTCTTTATTTTCTCTGAGAGACCCTCATCCTTGATCTACCATTTTCACAAATCATTTTTCATTTCACCATTTTTTTCTGGCCATCTCCCTTTAGACCCTATCTTTGTTCCTCCCTATCCTATAGGTAGGGCCATAATGATAGTTAAGTTCACAAACAACTCAAGTTTAAACTCATGTTCAGCCCAGATTCATTCTGTTCAAGATTATGAAAACCTACACAAGCACAAGTCAATCACAAGCAACCATTTGTTTGTTTAGCCCAAACACAAACAACAGCTTTTTCGTTTCTGTCCAGCTCGTTTAAACCAGTTTTAACAAATACAAAAGTAAGCATTGGAAGGAAGTCATGCATTTCAAAATTAGTAGCATAGAATTCCTCAATTGAGAAATTTGACAACAAAAACAAGCTCTTGTTGCCAAATATTCAACTTGATCTTCCGTCAGCTTCAAAACTATATGCTAATTAACAAATTTATAGTGTGCAAAAAAAGAAAAACGAAAAACATGAATGCTGCAAATAAAAAAAAAATTGCCACCTGGATGAGCGGATTGGGTTGCCATCCCTACCGGCGACTCTTTCTGCAGAAAGAAAACCATAGAACACCATAAAGTTAATGTAGTTGCACATCGTAACACAAATTGAAGCCCTTAAATAGGACAATCCGAAGTAAGATAAAACAGGAATTCTGTCAAAATCCAGCCACAAGATTAATGTTTGCAATTAAAGAAATCTGAAGTGAAGCAGCTACCTTGGTGGTGTACACCTTGTCCCCATTCTCGTTTATGTAGAACTGCAGATACATCTTCGTCGGCAGGAATCCCTAACCATCGCAACACCTTACAATCATAAGCATGAAGTACGATAGACCGACCATCTCAAAGAAAACGAAATCACCGAAGCAAATCACTCGTTCAAGCCCTTAAAGAACACAAGAGAGAAACAGAAAACTAAAGCAAGCAATTAGATCCATCGTGGACAGCAACGTCAAAGAAGTCTCACCGGGCAGCAGAGAGACGCGCGAGGCGCCGCCGACAGTATTCTGGGTTTCGTTCTAGTGATATCGAGGGGGACAAGACGCGGAGGGTTTTGACGACTCACACATGGAGCATCCGAGCACGTGTCATGCACGTGACAATATAAATTTACCCTTCAAATTTGTGAAAATAGTGTAATATATTATGGATGAATTAAGATCGACAAATATTAACTATAATTAAAAATAAATCAAATATTATGTTTTTTAATTTCAATTTTATTAAGATATACCTATTAATATTTTTAGTAAGTATGCCAAAAAGATTTTAATGTCCAAGTTCAAGTGACTTTCTAATCTATTCATGTTTAATTTAAAGTAATATTAGAAAGGTAAATGTAAATTATATGACATAACACTTTCTACTTTGAGGGAGCTCCAAGCTTAATAACTACATTTTTTTTCTTCTTATACATAAGAATATATCAAATAGAATCAAATATAATTACAAGCATTACATAGTTGGGAAAAAAAATATTGTAGTTAGGAACTTAAACTCGTTTCATTTTAATTTTGTTCACAAGCCTAAAGAAATTTCATCAAATTATAAAATAGTGACTTTAAAATAAGTTATAATGAAGCAAAGCATATCACGCCAACAAATACCATTAAAAATAATGTATTGATAATTAATTGGATGAAATATATTCTTCTAAGTTCAAATCATCATATTGGACAAATAGCATCTGATGAAGAATGATCGAGGGCTATGTATTACTTCTTCTAGTTATATTTTTTTACATCTGAATTATTAAATTTAAAAAATTATATTGAAATCATTTTAGTTATGAAAGTGAAATATCTATTTTTATTTTTCTTAACGTTATCGGTTTTATCAACGGAAACACTAAAACAATGGACAAAAAGATAATTTCAATATCCTAGTTACATTTTGATGGTGGTAAATGACGATGACGTTAGGGGACGCGAGTGGCTATTATAGATAAGGAGGAAGAGCAATGACAAAAGATGAGGTAAAGGAAGAAGAGGAAGATGACAACGCATATGCTGATACTCTGCATCTATGTCGACACTGATGTAGATATAGAGTGACGAAAGAGCTGCTTAGCATCTATATTAATGTTAATACAGATGTAGAGTGATAAAAAGGTCGCTTGTCATTTGCATCAGCATCAACGTAGATGCAAAATAGCACTACCTTTCCCCACACATCATTATAGGTATCGACGTAGATGCATAGTAGTGCCACTCTGCATCTATATCAACATCGGTGCAGATGTCGAGCAGTCCTTTTGTTGCTTTGAATTTGCATCAACACTGATACAGTTATCGAGCGACATCGACGAAAATGCAGAGCATCAACATCTTCGTCATCCTCTTTTTCCTCTCCCTTTGTCACACCTCTCGTCGTCGCTCTCCCTCTTCATCTACAATAGTTACCCTTGGCTCTCAATGGTGTCATCACCAAAAACATAACTAAAATACTGAAATTATCTTTTTACTCATCATTTTTATACTTTCATTAGTAAAACCGATAATATTATGGTAAATGGAATTAGATGTTCCACTTTCATAACTATAAGAATTCCAATATAATTTTTTTTAAATCTAGGGATCAGAATTCTAAAGAGGTACACATGGGGTAATCTATAATTAGCCCTATGCTTGATGAGGTTTTTATCTCTTAATTTATTTTGAGGGTGTCAACTAGCTTAACTAATAAAAAAATTTAATAGTATATTGTAAGATCCTAGGCTTGAATCCCACCTTTGCCATGGAATAGGTATGGATACCCATGGGGACTCATCCCTAATGCGACGAAGATATAGAAAATAAATAGGGATAGGATGAGGATAGAAGTATTTTATATTACCTATATAAATATGAGGCGAGGACGAGAAAGAGTATTTTCCACCCCATACCCAACCCATTAATACATGGGCTGAGATGCTAAGCTCAAGCATTGATGTGTCAAATTTTCGTTATTTAAATTATACTGGGTGACATTGATTGAATTGATTATGATTCAATTAAGAATCATTTGGTTCAATTAAATTAAATAAAATATTTTCTCGTTCAATAATAATAATTCCTTCTCGTGAACCCATGCATTGTGCGCACCCAATCCCTAACCGTAGGCGTCGACTATTTGACTATGTCTTCATCGTTCCTCCTCTCTTCATCGACAAACCATAATTCCTTTTACGATCAATGGCTGCAAATAATAAATAGTGAACGATTATGATGATTCGTTAATATTCTTCTCTTTTTCTCCTCCTCTTCCCATCGCACACTCCCTTCTCCCTCCGTCCTCTTTTCGACTTCCGCCTTCATCAAATCACCCTCATCCCCTCATTGCAATCATTCCCGCCCACCTCGTGGCCTTGCCTCTTCCACCATCATAGCCTTGTGCCTTTCCTCGATCTCTTTATCTTCCCCCTACCTCTGTTTTGATAATTTTGATTCTATTTGGTTTTAGCTATATTTATCTTTTGTTATATGTAAATTTTAGTATTATACATTATGTTTGATAGTAGTTTTTTTTAAATAATTAATTATAAATATATGGAGAACTCATAAAGTTCCCCGACTGGGATTCCCCATCTCCACACCCACCCCATCTAAATGGGGAATGAGACGAGGATAGGGGATGAAAGATAAAACTGGGATGAGGACGAGATGAAACTGATATATATATATATATATATATATATATATATATATATATATATATATATATATATATATATATATATATATATTCTCTGTGGTATGACCAAATGAGATTATTATAAGGAGTGCTTTTTTTTTGTCTTTGCGAGTATCAACATATTATTGTCCAATGTTCAAATTTCTTTCGTTGATTTTTGTACTTATATAGTTAAATCGTGCAGTATTGATAAATATTTCAGCAAAAGATTATCTAATAATAAGAAATTCAATTTGGGTTACAATATTTAAAACAGAAAAACACAACAGATTTAATAGAAACACACATACAGACATATATAGGCTTGGTATTGAAGATGAAGTTGGAAACGCCTGATTTGATCTTGATTCTTTTATGTATTGAGGCAATTGCTACATTACACTTGATTACTCTATCACTAAGCACTAAGCAACTTAGAACAGAAGAATACACATGGCAAAGAAAGTCATATTTAGGATAAGTTTCTCAGATGCAATAAGTTTCATTAGACTTCAAGACATTATATTTTTTAGGTACAGGTAGACTCAGATTTCATCTTCCGTTTGAGCTTACAAGAAAATCATATTGCAGTGTGAAAGAATGAAAGAAATTAATGAATAACAAGAGAACTTTGTGAAATAAAATGGAATTCTCTGTATGATGCCTTCCTGTTCTGCATAACTCCCCGGTAGATGGTCCTCCCAATCTCTGGCTTCCCAACTAAGCTGCCTTTGCCTAAAAGAGAATACCTAGTCAATAAACTTGAGAAATAACATTCCTAACTAAGAGTTAGAATAAAATTAAATGAGATAAATACCATGTTCAAATACTTAATATGAAGTTTCAAAGCCTCGTCGCATGCTTTCTTTGCGTTCAAACTTCCAGTAATATCATTCAATATCTGCCATGAGAGCCCACCAGTATGAGAGGCCAAAAGCAAGGAAGAATTGAGGGAAGAAGATAGGAAGATAGCAAAGAAGAGGAAATGGACCAACCTTCACAACATCATCTAAACCCTTTGCTTCCTGCAGGAGCCGCTTGTTCTTGGACTCGAGAACACTGGCAACCAAAAAGATGGATAGAGTGGCTTCTTGATTTTTCTGACCAGACTTGACATTTTCCCTCTCAAACTTTCCAAACTGCATTAGATCTTCATTTCCTGGCCCATCTTGGTTGTTTTTAGCTGAATCATCTGACTCATAGATGGAGAAGAGATGGGGATTGTATTCCATAGACCAGATCAGCTGAATGAATAAGAATAAACAGTTACATATAGTCTTCCATCAGCACCCATCAATATGTACATGTGATGAATCAGAAATTGGTAGTGGGAGGATGAGAGGAGCAAATGCACTTTCAATCTTATTAAATATCACTGAGGTTCATAATGGTGTTTTGCAGTATGAAATTTTAAATTAAAAAGCAACTACAGGAATAATCCAATAGAAGTTTACCTCCCAAAGGTACAAAGAATCAACAAATGAGAACTCTCTACGGAAGAGGACCATCAACATACGGAAGGCAAACAAAAACTCCCCTCCATCCAGATTCTCTGTCATATTTTCTTCATCAGAAATATTAAATAGCACTGATTTAAAACATCTTTTTCAGAAATTCATGAAAATTATATCCTTTTTTTCTTAATGTGCTGCCGAACATTGTTTTAGGAATTAAAAAAGACATAATATAGTGTCACCAGACTGCTACATATTAAGCTGATATGCCTGAAATACCAACTAGGACACAGGTATCAACAACTAGACAATACACCAACTGATATTCTTTCATGAATTAGCACTTCCAACTTACAGATGGAAAAGGAATTTAAGGTGAAAAAAAAGTAAACTAAGCATCCATGAATAAACATCAAGGGAAAAGAACAAGAAAACTTGAAGAAAGTAATAATGTATCACGCTTAGGATGCTAATTGAAACTCATCCTAACAGAATCCAAGAATCAGCCACAAGGATCAAGAAAAAAATTAATATTTCCGAATATCACAATCCTTCTATAAACATCTTCTAGACGTATATTTACACACCATAAGGCCAAAATAGTGTTAAGCTAGTCAGGTAATTCACTGGTCAGGTTGAACATTATGACTCATCAAGGGAAAGTTTCTCTTCTTTGGTTCCATTTGTTAACAGATAATCAGGTCTCTACAGGCTGGCTTCTATATTTAAGTATGACATTTTTCAGAGCATTTCATACTTTGTGCTTTGTGTTTACTCATTTTCTTTAGATAAAAGCAAATGATATGCAAAAAAATCTACTTATAGTGATGGAATCTCCAGTATTTTAGTGATACTTGATGAATATAATGTTCGTTCACCAGAAGTTCACAAAAGATACTATAATGCATTGTTTATCTTAAGGATTATGAAGATTTTTTTTCTCC